CGGCCCGCCAGGTTCGGGCGAGCTGGGCCGTGTGTCACGCGTGGCTGTCTCCGTAGGTAAGTGAAGAAAAATGGCCCGTACAAAGCAGACCGCCCGCAAGTCCACCGGGGGGAAGGCTCCGCGCAAGCAGCTGGCCACCAAGGCGGCCCGGAAAAGTGCCCCCTCTACTGGTGGCGTCAAGAAGCCTCACCGCTACAGGTAAGGCCGCCGCGACGGCCCGGCCTGGCCTGGCCCTCTGCGGTGCTGCCCCCAGCCGGCTCACGCTGCTTCCTCCTCCCAGGCCCGGCACCGTGGCCCTCCGTGAGATCCGCCGTTACCAAAAGTCCACGGAGCTGCTGATCCGCAAGCTGCCCTTCCAGCGGCTGGTCAGGGAAATCGCCCAGGACTTCAAAACAGACTTGAGGTTCCAGAGCGCGGCCATTGGTGCACTGCAGGTATTGCTGGCAGCCCGCCGGGCCCTGACACTTGCGGCACCGAGCGAGCCTCGCTGAGGGTTGTTAATGACATTTCTTCTTGTGCTCTTGAAACAGGAGGCCAGTGAAGCATATTTGGTGGGTCTGTTTGAAGACACAAACCTGTGCGCCATCCATGCCAAGAGAGTCACCATCATGCCCAAAGATATCCAGTTGGCTCGCAGGATACGGGGGGAGAGGGCTTAAGTGAAGGCTGTTTTTATGGTGTTTTGTAGTAAATTCTGTAAAATACTTTGGTTTTAATTTGTGACTTTTTTTGTAAGAAATTGTTTATAATATGTTGCATTTGTACTTAAGTCATTCCATCTTTCACTCAGGATGAATGCTAAAAGTGACTGTTCACATAAACCTCAGTGATGTGAGCCTTGTTGCTCAGGAGTGACAAGTTGCTAATATGCAGAAGGGATGGGTGATCTTTCTTGCTTCTCATGCATGTTTCTGTATGTTAATGACTTGTTGGGTAGCTAAACTTGTAAGGTACTAGAATTGATATAAATGTGTACAGGGTCCTTTTGCAATAAAACTGGTTATGACTTGATCCAAGTGTTTAACAATTGGGGCTGTTAGTCTGACCATACATCACTGTGATCAAATGTGGACTTTTTCAGAGGGTGAAACTACAAGTCTTAACCACAGTGTAACTTACAGTTTCCTAAAAACGTAAACCTGGCAGCTATAGAATACACTATGTGCATTTATAATAGCTATTTTATATATTGTAGTGTCAACATTTTTAAATTAAATGTTTTACATTCACATGTGGGGAGTCTTTGTCATTTGGTTTGTTTGGGCTTGGAGAAGCTTCCTTCTGCTCCAGTATGCTAGCAGTAGATGCAGGAAATACTGGAATGCTGCTGTGGCAACTGCCAGCAATGTGGAGAAGTCACTCATGTTTTTAGGAGTGTTTCCTTAGTTGAGTCATCTCAAACTGTACCAGTAAGAGCAGCTCAGGCAGTCTGGGTGCATCTCCTGGTTTGGTGGGAACTGAACACTGTGTTTATTGTAGTCACTTGGTCTTAATCAGCTACTACATCTACAGATGGTCTCTGCTACTTACACAACCTGAAAGGCTACAGGTTGCTGCACAAATGCAGGAGGAGGACTTGGCTGTCACTGAGAACCTCATTTCCTACCCAAGCTTTTCTTGGATTACTCTCAGGCCTTCGTGTTGGAATATTCCTTCAGGCTTTCTGCTAACACAGCTCTGGTTTTCTTAATAGGGCCTCTGGGAACAGCCCCACCTAATTCAGCTGAGGTAAAGCTGCTCAGACTACATTTGAAGTACAGGTAATTAACACTTTAAGTGCTAGGCCAGCTCTCCCTCAAACAGGATACACAAGACTAAAATTGCAACAGAAGTAGTAGGGGGAAGTGGCTGAAATTAGTCCACTTTTATTTCTTTCAGTGAAATAAAGTTTCCTGAGGGGGAGAATGACATTTTAAGAGGAAAAAGTTTATACAAAGGAGAGAACAGTGTAAGTTAACAGGGGACCTTTGGTATAATTGTTTAAAACCGGATGTGTTTAAAGCAGTTCCTTCCACAACACTATCCTGGCAGTACTTCATTTTTTTTTTTTCCCCAAATTCATTTCCCAAATTCTTTCCCATCTTATTCCAGGAGAGCTGCCAGCAGGAGGGCTGTGTTTCGGGCTGGGAACAGGGCTGGGTCAGCAGTGTGCAGGGCGGAAGTCGGAGCTAGAGCCCGTGCTCTCCCTTATCAGACAAACCACTCGGTGTGTTTAAATCCTGCAGCTGGAGGAACAAGCGCTTATTACCACTCGCTCTTACACCATTTCCTCAACACCCTTTCTTACTCCACTCGGAACAGTACTGGAAACACACCATTAACACTGTTGTTACATCTACACAGAACTACTGAAAAATACGCTTGAATCTTGAATGATTTTTAAGCATGTTTTCTCACTTAAAAACCCATCATGGAAAAAAAAAATATTGCATCTAAATTTTAAACTAAATGAATTTAAAGGGCTAGATCAAAGTTAAGCAAAGATGATGTTATTACCATCCTAGCAACTTTGGCACCCAAGAGCTGCTTCACATTATCCTTCCTGCACAGGCCTCAACAAGTCACTTGGTACTTCTGCGCTAGCTGTGAAACGTGGAGAACACTTGGATACCTCGAAGGCACCACCAAGAAATGGGAACAGCCCAGCTAGTGCCAAGGGAACCGCAAGAGGCAGCTCAGCTCTTCCCAGCTACGGGTCTCCCAACAGAGTCACGGGGCAGGTACGTCCGGCTGACAGGTACAACCGGGCCAGGGACCATCTGGCAGCAACACCGTTAACCCACCGGGAACCCGATGGTGTACCGAGAGGCCACGTAATTTGGGAAACATGGCTGAAATGATATTGAGACAAGTTAAAAAAATAGGAATTCTAAGTGTGGGAAGCTGTTAACGGGTGATTGGGTTGAAACGGCATTAGCAGGCTAGGTTCCTGGTGGAAAAGTATATTTTAAAATAACATCCCTCGAAAACAAAGTTTCCTCCAAGTAGTTACTGGAAACAATGAAACATCTCGAAATGATATTGAGGCAAGTTAAAAATAGGAATTCTAAGTGAGGGAAGCTGTTAATGGGTGATTGATTGGGTTGAAACTGCATTAGCAGGCTAGGTTCCTGGTGGAAAAGTATATTTTAAAATAACATCCCTCGAAAACAAAGTTTCCTCCAAGTAGTTAGTGGAAACAATGAAACATCTGGGTATGCCTAGGAGCTGATTCTTAAAATAAAAAATCATTGTCTAATGTTTCTTAAAGGGAAAAAAAAATCACTATCAAAGGAGCTATTCATCTTAATAATCCTAAATTTTAAATATATATCTCTTGCATGTGGTAGAATGGAATAGCAATTCTTGGTGTTCCAGACTCTTACTGTAATTATATCTGAAGACATAAAGCGTTCCCTTACCAATTCTCTCGACAATTTCCTCGCATTCTTGCTCAGAAGTCGATTCAAACACTAGACAGTCAAACGTGCTCCCTTCAAGGCTCTCTGGGGAAACGCTAAATATGGAAACACGTATGTTAGCAGGCAAAAAGAAACGTGGCACTTACTTAGCAGGGACACGGAGAGCCAGGCAGCGTCGTAGCAGCATCGTGCAGCCGCATAAGCACCAACGCGGCTCCTTGGGGGATACGGGAGTTTTTCTAAGATCTGGAGCCCTCAAATCTCAAGTGAAATCTCACCCCTGTTCCCCTATCATGCCACGTGCTGGCTAAATCTTTACTGGCAACGCAGCTGAGGGCCAGCTGTGTCGTGTCCAAAGCTCAGGGAGCAACGGGGTGGTGAGCAGCGAGCTCAGACACTGCTCTGGGCGAGCGGCCCTCACCTGGGGCCCCCTCTCTCTTGTGGTGAGAACTGTGCACAGAATCACACACAAAAAATTTGCATCACGCAGCAACAGCCCAGCAACTGCCCCTGCTAAATGTGGTGCCTGCTTTTCGCCAGCCGCTTTCGCTTCCTCGGCACCTGTTTTGGGTCATTTCTCGCACACGCACTCGAGACCCCTCGCCTGGGCATCCCGGCCGGGCTCAGCCCACGGGCAGCACTTACAGAACGCAGAAAGCAAATAAATTGCTGCTGCCCAAGCGGCGTCCCACGCAGGAGATCTCAGGATAGGGGTAGCGGAGCAGGCCCTGTGCAGGGAATCGGGGAGGGTGTCAGGGCAAGGCTGCAGGGGAGCCAGCCATGGGCCCGGTTCCTCCCTGGAGCTGGTCCTGCCATGCAATTTGGGCCGGGTGAAGCGCAGCTGCTGGGGAGGAACCAGCTTCACCACAACCACATCCACAAACTGGAACAGTCCTCTGGCCCTGCCATTCTGTGAACCCAGAGCTCAGCGCGCTCTGGGCAAGCCAGGAACTCGCAGAAGGAAGTGCGAGGGGGTCGATCCCGCACACGGCTCTGCCCTTCTCCACCAGACTCCATCCCTATCTCTGCAATGGCACCTACCCTGCTGCTCCCTCGAGCATCCGCTAGGAAGCGGCATGCACGGAGCTACCTCAGGCACAACGGGCAGTGTGGAGCTGGTCCAGCTCAGGAAAACTCATCCAGCTCTCCCGAATTACAAACCTGCCTATCCCCTGCTTCACCAACACTGATTTTTGGTCTCTGCTGCCCGGTTTAGCTAAGTTTTGAAATCCTCTTTATGTGCAAATGAGCTTCTCTGTGGTTCCTGTTCACTCGGTGATCCCCACGTCACACACTGCCCGAATGGCAGCCTGGTGGGTCACCGGTTCATCCTGCGACCGCTCTCACCTGGGAGCCATGGGCTGCAGTTCCATGCACTGAACAGTCCAGGTCCCAGCCCATCCAAGAGGGTCTCACCTCATCTCCGGCATCACGCTCTCACCTTGGAGGAAGTCTTGTCTTGGATGAGGATCTCCGTTTCCTTCACATCAAACAAAACCTCCTGAATGAGGGGAAAAAATATATAAAAGGGCCCAACCATTGTGGCTTCTAAGGTTTATTTTTAATAAGATAATCTCTCTCCTGCAAGTATTTGAGAGAAAAGGTGATAAATCTCACCTGAAACAGTTTTTCAAGGAGTTTCCTATTGCTCATGGCAAAATACAGAGATGGAAAGGGGAGATAGGGGCTGCGTATTAGCAGACCAACAAACAGCCCTGCTCAGCTGTTATTATTATTTTCCATAATATATTTTCCTATTTTGCCTGCAAAGATGCTTCTAAATAGAAAAAAAGTCATGGGGATGAGGAGTGTCAGCTGCTCATTAGAGTCAGGCACTGGGCTGCATCCTGCACAGCAGGATGAACCTCGCGTGGTGTAAAAGATGTATATGGAAATAGTCGGGGTGGGTTTCCTTTCTGGCAGGTTTTGGTTTCTCTCCCTTTCCCCCCTGCCCTCTGCGTGTGCCCACACACCAGGCCACACAGATGAGATCGACCCGCTCCACCTGGGCCCTGCTGTGGCGGAAGATGAAGACACAGGAAACGGGACCCGCGGGCGCGGAACCTGCCGCCCCTCTCGCCGCGCGCCCGTCACTCACCCGCGCGGGCAAACGCCTCTCCAGCACGGCGGGGATGCCCAGCTCCAGCACCTCCTTGCTGCCGTCCTGCAAGCGGAGCGGGGAGGAGGCAACAGCCCAGGAGCGCGTGAAGAGAAACTCGGAAGAGATCCCTAACCCCCAGCACATCCCTCCTCACCTTCCCAACATTGGTCCGGCCCAAGTACCGCAGGTTGTAGAGGAGCCTGGGGAGAAAAGCGGCATCAGCACC